ATTGATCTGACTGACCTTTCTCTGTTTTGACCACTCAGTCATGATGTCGCAGCTCCCATGAGTCCTCATGCTCAGGAGGTTTCCGGCTACGTGGACTTTAACGTGTCCATGCCGGCGCAGAACCTGTGGAAGGTGGTGAGTTGAGGCAGCAGAGTGCCCCCCGGTGTCCCCTCAGAGAACTGCAGCTCCATGAGACGCTGAAAACAGGTTTCAGAGTTAGTGAACGTTGACAGTGTAAAGTGGATCTATGAATGAGGCCTGAAGGACGACAGAAACAAACAGGAACTGCAAACCTAGAAGCTAATTACAGACTGTCACAGTTCATCAGCTGATCAGACGTTATTTATCAATCATTAATAACTAATCTTTCATTTCAATTCCCTGTAATTCATTTTGTTTATGTATGAAAAGCAGACTTTGGCATTCATTCGTTTTCATGACTGCTGCTGTTTCATTGGACAGTTTGTGGAGCCGTTGTTTACTGAACTGTTGTTTGTTTGTTTGTTTGTTTGTTTGTTCAGGATATCGCCAACAGGGAGGCGGAGTCAGAGGTGTGGAAGACGATCCTGTCTGAAGTCCGATTGGTCCACGTCAACACCTCCGCTGTGGTCAAGGTGCTGACCTCACCTGACACGCCTGAGCTGAACGCCCATATAAGGACCTGCTGACTTGTGTGTGTGTGTGTGTGTGTGTGTGTGTGTGTGTGTGTGTGTGTGTGCGCGCGCAGCTGAGCGGTGTGTCTCTCCCAGACTGGGGTTTCCGTCAGCTCGAGGTCGTAGCAGAGAAGCTGTTCAAAGCTCACAGCAGCAGTTTGGGGTGGAACGTGGAGGAACACCGATATGGAACCAGTATGTTAGCTTAGCATTGTTAGCATCCCTCCGTATTTACTGCAGTGATGTCACAGTTACCCATGATGCCTCCCAGGTCAGGAGCAGAAGGAGCGGGAGGCGGAGCTTCACTCTCCGACGCACATCGACGTCGACAGAAAAATTTCTTTCTGGGCCAAGTTTGTGGAGCTGCAGGTACGACATCATCATGTCATCGTCCAATCAGATGGCTTGATTCCTGTGATGGTGTGCAGGCTTTTCACGTCTTTAATTATTCAGTCAGTTTGACTGAATACTGCAGTATTAGAGCAGAATCTGTTTGTCCAGAACACTCACAAAATCAACTCATCAAGAATAAATAAAAAATCAGCAGGAACTGTGATGTCATGTTGTGATGTCATGTTGTGATGTCATGTTGTGATGTCATGTTGTGATGTCATGGCAGTGGAAGATGCTAACGGTGAAACAGGAAGAGTCGGAGCACAAATACAGCTCCGCACCCCTGGAGTGGATCACCATGGAAACCAACATCGCATACTGGCTGCACGCGACAACCAACGTAACACACACACACACACACACACACACACACACACACACACACACACACACACCATGTGTCCTGTTCTGCTCTCTGATTGGCTGCATGTGATTCAGGCTCAGATCCACTTGATTGGAAACCCGGTGTCGTGGGGCGTGGCCAACCTGAGCCTGCTGGCCTATCAGCTGCTGGCAGTGGTGTACCTGCTGAGGAGGAGGCGGGGCTTGAAAGACCTACCTGATGGTACACACTGACACACACTGAGGTTCTGGTTCTGCAGAGAGATGCTCCTCTGACACGTTTCCAGCGGATTTACCTTATGTGATGTTTCATTCACTT